ACAGTTTTTGCAATGTTACGTACTTGTAAGACGGAGACAACACATGCGGGTGTAGCGTCCTCTTAATTAAACTAAATGATTATGTAATATTAAAATATACATATTTTAATTGTMACTAAGAATAATTTTACTATACATATAAAAATTCTTAAAATTAAAATAACATATAGCCATTGGTGTATTAATATGGTAATATACCTATGTTCAAGATGTTGCTTAATGCTAAGAATGACTATCGTTTTCTATCTGTTAATATTATATATATATATATATAATGTTTAGAGCCTATATTTTTCTTGTGAATAGACATACTTAGTACAGTAATTTGGACTACAATTTGTATTTGTAATATAAAATAAACATATAACAATAATTGTACTTTGAAGTCACATATAAATTTGTAGTTTAAACTCATTTTAACACTCGATAGGTTACTTAAAAAATATTCAATGGAGTTATTGAGCATAAAAACAATGTCTTCATATTCAGATATACATCTTAGAAGTTAGAAAAGATAACAAAAATATTATATMAAATAGAAATGTACAATGTACATAAACCTACATTATTAGATTAAATAACTAAGTGTCTAAGTATGATTTTATGATAGCAATGATATTTTATTTACAATATCATCTTTAACTTCCTGATTTGGTATTTTTACTTTTCCTAAACAATGTTTTAGGTTTTTTGATCCTGAAACCAATGTTGTAGTTGAATAACAAGTTAGATAACCTAAGTCTAACAAGATATTGAAATAATATTCCATAACATTGTCCTTAAAGGTTTCAGATGTTTGAATAATATGAGGGGAGATTGGATGAGTTTCTGATTCATGATTATTGAACATTACAACCACCGTCAGATCATTATTTAGCAGTTTTTCTATTATATTTTTAATATCTGGATTCGAAAAGCTACAAAAAAAATTTCCAAAGTCTCGCCAATAGTTGTCAATTTTTTTACATTTTAAAACATTTAAAATTGACCATATGCTATATATATTCTTCTTTATTTTTGTAAGTTCATCAATTTTACAATATGAACCATAATAAGCTTTTACTTCGTTTATTGTAGCTGAAACATTTTTAAATTCCTTTTTTTTGAAAAGATATTCCAACTCATTTTCAGTTAATCCATAATAATCGGTAAAATTATGACAATTAAWGAACGATTGTATTTTCATGTATGAAGGAACTATACAAGAAATAGCATTACCAGATTTCCCAGTCACAAACGCTTTAAAAACTAATAGATCGTTTTCTAAAAACAACAAAAATTTCTTCAAAAATATAATAATAAGTTTATAATCTTCCAATAAAGTCTCTGATATAGAAACTATATTTGTAAAAATGTCRAGGTCATCAATTAGAACAAAACATCGCTTATTAAAATGATTTCTTATAAATGCACACAATAAACCAAGACTATTAACAATGTGGCTGAAATCCTCAACATCCTTGTAACTTGCATTACCACACCATAATTTACATAATTCTCTCTGTTTCATACTCAATTTAGAACTTCTTTGTAAATAATTATGCGATTGAAAAGCTTTGTGAAGTATTTCGCTGCATCCTTGAACAACACAAGCATATGATTTTATATTCATTTCTGTTTTAAAATTTACATACAAAACTGGGTATTTTCCAAAATGCTTATCCATTATATTAGACTCTTTGCTTATTTTAAGTCCTTTAAATAATTTGTAATTACTCGTGTCTCTAATTGGTTTCTCAGCTTTGGCCTTTGTTAGAGGTATTCCCCCAGAGTTCACCTGGATTTCCAAGAAGTATTTAAGCATAGTTAGATTTGTTGATTTTCCATACTTGCGAGGTGCCGTGACTACTGTTCCTTTGATTTCCTCATTTTGAAATACTTCTTTTATCATCAATGTTTTATCTACAAACGCTGTTGTTTGAAGAATCTTGATAAAATCACACGAAGAAAAATTAAAAATTATATCTTCTTGAATTGMAATCATCTATAACATGGAAAACTCGTTAAACATTTTGTAATTTGTACTCAAATTTTAATTCTAAAGCCGGGATCACACAACTTGTGTATTTGACGAATATCCATGAATACTCAAATAATTAGCAAGTCGTACCATCAATCTGCGAGAAGGTGGCCAATAACACTACTCAGCAAGTATCCACGAATACTAAATATTTTTCAAAAACACGAGTCATGGAGTCTTGGCTTTAGAATTAAAATTTGTGTAATTTAAAACATACCTCAATACTCTTAATGATACTTTCGATTGTCATATTACAACTATTGCAGTTGGTGCAAATAGGCATCTTCTGAAATCAAACAAATATAATATATTAATGTACAATTTTTATAATACTAATTATTAAGTTGAAATAGGTTTTTACAAGAAAATATTTTTAATTTTATGTGTCTACGTGATTTGTGTACTTACTGCTAGTATAAAATAAGAAAATAAATAAATAAATTATTAACATTTAAAAATTTTTTTTTAAATTTAAATTATTATGGAATATACACATGACATAATGATACTAGGAATATTATTTTCTTAACACTCATTTTTCTGTTGATTTTGTTTAAATTTACATTTTAATATGCCAATATTTGAAAGAACATATATTATACTTTTTGAAAAGTAGAATTATTTATGGTATAAACTTTATGCTTTTTTTATTATAGTATTTTATATTGATGGCATCATATGGACATCCATGTTTTTGTCACCTCTTACTATATTCTAATATAATTTTGAGGCTAAACATTATTTTAAATTATTATACTCTCTTTTCACTTAATAACTATTATAAATTTTAATATATTTATTAATTATACCTAGGGGTCCTCAACCTGCACCAGTGAGCAGTTTGCGATGCGCGATCACATTTGAAATTTAGCATTTTTTTTTCTATTTCTATAAAATTGTAGAAGCTAAGCTATCGCTATCAGACATATGCTATAAGATAAATTTAATTACCTACCAGTCCTGCCTAGATATGAATGTTGGCTGTCGCCGGTTAGTATGTAATTGATCATGGAAAAGCATAAATGCATAATACTAATTTATGTATAAAAGTTTCAATTTCATTTATTTGCATCGTAATATTTGTATAATATGTCAGTGAATAAAATACGTCAAGTATTGGATGAAAGTCGCATTGTTCAAGAAAAATGGCATAATAATAATTTTTTTTATCTAAATTAAAGAAAACTGTGTGTTTAATTTTTCAAGAATCTATAGCAATGATGAAAGAGTACAGTTTAAAACAACATTACTGCAATATGGCGCCAATTATTTTTATCTATATGTTTCAATCATAATAATAGTTTTTAATTTAAAATTTAATCATACAAATTGTAATAATAAAACTGCGTTTTTGTTTAAAATACATATTTTTAGTACGAATAATATGCGGCTCACTGCATTAAAAAGTTGAAACTGATTTATTCATTAATGGGTGTACGTTTGGTATGTGACCTAGGTACCAAGACGAATAAGACGATTATTTATATTATGTATTAATAACTATCAACCCTTTTAAGTATATTAAAACATATTAAGACTAAAAACATGTTAATTATGTGTAGTAATATGAAAAAAATAAAAATAATTCTAGTAACATATAAATAATTCAGACTAATAAGTACATATTATGACAAAATATAAACATAATTGTTTTTACTTTATTTTTTTTTTAATCAATGAATATATTTTAATAATATCAGCGATTTTGTTTTAAAGCTATCACGAGAAAAAAGAAATATGTCTAAATGCATACAAGGTTTATATGCTAAAATTCACTCGATACAGAAAAAAAATTGGCACCATTTTAAGTTTTATAATAAGGAACTAAAAATAAATCTGAACTACATATAATTAGATATGGAATTCGAAAACCAATTTCAGATAAACAMGTTGAGTCATATTAAACATGATTTTCCAGCTTGATTATGACCAATGCGAATAACTTTCTTAGGAATAATAGATGTGTCGATCACAATAATTTTAACTAAATTGTTAATTTGTTCAAGATCAAATTAAAAACCAATCATACAATCATTTCAACGGGTTAGTCACATTCTTCAATACTATAAAATAATAAATTGTTGGTGTAATGGTTACGCTCATTAATTTTGTTAAAAATAATTCACAAGAGTAATGCTTAGACAAATTACTAAAATTAGAATTCATATTTTTTAAATTTTGCATTACAATTAATAATCTTACTAATAGCTTTTACTCTGGTAATTCTTTAAGATCTKGACCAAATCCATCATAAAATTACTTTAGAAACATATTWTTTTTTAAGAAATGCACTTAATATCAGTTTCAGGAAGTCCCATACATTTAGAATGTGCTGACAGATGTGTGACAGCTATCACATTTGACCGAAATATCCAGTTCARAGAATTGAATATTTACAGATGATACAAGTAACTCCAGTCATAACATAGATAATTGGAAGAAAAAAACAATATAAATAATACAYAGAACGATGTAGTTAATTAGAAAAAGATACCCGCAGAATAAAGTACAGCATAAGACTTAGACAATAACTGTATAAATTATTTATATTATGTTTAGACAACATAGGGGTACCGATCTGTTAACAGATAAGATACATTTTCAAAACTTTTATAGGCATATACAAAAAGTGTATAGCTAAACATTAAAAAAAAATAAAAATAGTTTTTTTAAATAAATGATTTTGATGTATTGCTGTACACATTCAATATTTCTATACATTGTTTTTTTTTTTACTGATTTTTAAGGCTGGGCAAAGTTAACTATTTTCTTTAACTCGTTAAGTTAAGTTAATATAGAAAAAAGTAAGTTAAGTTTAAAGTTAAAAGTTTTTTTAACTTGCAAAAGTTACAAGTTAATTAGAAAATAAAAGCAACTTAACTTAGTTTAAGTTAAGTAACTTTTTTTTTAGTATAAAATTAATAATTATACCAGCCTACCTTTTTTTAAGCTAACAAATAACATAATAATTCAATAAATGTCTTAAACATTTTAAATAAATGTATATAATAAAGTTATTTACTGTAGGTACTTATATTTGTATATTATACTTTAATCAATGATGAAATCCAATAAAATAATTGTTATGGTATTTATTAACGTAAATGATCCACAACTATACTAAATATTATTTATTAGAATATAATTACTTGGTTACACAATATATAAATATATTATATAAAATATTATTCAATTAATAGTAAGAATAAAAATATTTAATCAAACCATTGTTGTATTTTACCATTTTAGTAGACAGTAGTTAACTCATACCTAGTCCTAGTGAGGTGTATTTGCCATTTGGTATATCATATGAATATCAAAAGTAAAATAATGCAACCAAAAACTAAGCTTTTCAACATTCATACTTTAACTATCATTATAATAAAACCATGATAATTTATCAAACATTTCAGAACACAATACTTTCAAGTTTCAAAGAAAGCMGTATAAAACTATGAAAGCTAGAATGTGAAAAATAATTTTCGATGACAAGGGACAGACTCGAGACATACGAGACTCAAATATATTGTTTATGACTTTATGGCCATTACTCCACTATTCTATAACAGCCCGCATTTATTAGGTGGCATATTGAAAATTTAAAATGAATCTGTGTCCCAGGTATTTATTTAATTAAAAGTAAATACAATGAACCATGAACTACCACTCTWTTATACGGGTTTAAATTATTTACACCGATGGCTAAGTTATCTCTGTAATTCTATGAATGTATAAAATATAATAATAAGTAATAATGTTAATAATGATTAGATAATGACTAATGAGTCTTCAAACATTACAACCGTGTATGGCGGGATACTGAGTATCTAAATAATTGTTATATATTTCTTTTATTAATGACAAGGTTACCCCTATAACATTTCCATTTATAATATACTATATAGTTATATAATATTTTCTGTGAATATGCAATATGTCATATGATAATTATTTTTATAAATTATTGTCTATATAATAATTATTAATTAATATATTTAAAATTTCAGATTTTTTTTTTTATAAAATTAATTTRTACAAAATTGAATTTATTTTAAATCTGTGGTTTAGGAAAAAAATTAACTTACCGTGCCAATAAAATTAATTAACTCGTTAGTTACTGAATAACTTGGGGAAAAAATGTAACTCGTTAAGTTAGAAGTTACTTCTAAAAAAAAGTAACTCGTCAATTAACTTTTTTACTTTTCTTTAACTTATTAACTTGTTAATGCCCAGCCTTGCTGATTTTTATATTATTTAATACAATACTGTATTATTTTATATTTATATTGTTGATTAAATTAATAAAAATAAAATAACATAATTTTTTGAATTTTAGTTTGACTTAAAAATAATTAACGAATACCCAATATGGTAGATCACATACTAAACAAATATCCATGAATGATATATTACAAGTATTTAATTTACTATTTAGATTTTTAAGAGTACGATAATTAGTTTCAATGATTTTAACAATGAATTGATAACATCAACAATTTATAACAATGATATTAAACCAACAATAGAATTTAAATAACTAAGCATTTATGGTAACAAGAGTTGCAGTAGAAAGATTACATATTTTTTGGGAGGAAAGTATAAAATTTTGAATGTGTAAAAGGAGAGTGTTAGTCTAATTAAATAAAAAGTTTAGACTTAAGCTTTATAGAAGATAGAGGTTCCTTTAACAAATATAGTCTATAATTGAATTGTTATGCTAAAAGCCTATTTGTTTCATTTTTAAAAATTATTTTACAAATTACAACTTATACATTTATGTAAATTAACAACATTGTATTCATAAAAATCAATTTTTTAAGACTTTGTTTATTAAATTAAAATAATTTGATGATTTTTTTCTAATATCATGATAAAAGTATTTAATTGTGGTCTTTTAAACTTGGTGTACATTGGGGAAGGATGGGCAGGTGTTCTAGTCTAAATAAATCACTGGAGATAACTCTTAAGGAAAGTAATAGATAGTAATACAATCAAGCAGAAAAATATGGATATTCAATAAGTATTAAATAGTAATGACCTAAACATATACTTACAAATTTATACGCAGAGTCTAAAATTTTTGTTTCAAGTTCATCATTAACGGTGAAAAGTAAAAATATAGTATTCCACATACTATTGATACGTTTGCCTATAGTTAAAATAGCTTTATTGATCACTGCACAGCATTCATTTTCTTTCTTTTTACACTAAAATAATGAAATAGTTTTAAAAAATCACCGAGTATAAACAAAGGTGGTTATATACAATAGGCAGCCTACATCAATTATCTTGAGGAAAATATCGAATATTTTTAATTCAAATTTTAATTGTTCCATCATATCAAGTCTAGTTACTTTTCCTTTAGCAATTTTAACATCAATTTGTTTACGGTTTTCATTCGCCTTTTTTAATATTCTAAAAGAAAACGTTTACAATTATTATGTCAAACAAAGTAAAACTTATAATATAATAAACTGCAACTTACATTAGTGAATGATAATGATCAGTATGAAAAGTCATTCTGAAACATCCTTCGAAACCCTCAATTTTGAATACCATAGTTGTTATTGATTGTTCTATTTTATACACAAATTTTATGATATAAGATGGAACAGAATGTACTCCGTGAATATATGTTTCAAAATCTTCCACAAAATGTTCAACTGTTTTGTAACATAGATCTGAAATTAAATACGCAATTGGTTATTGAGCAAACGATTACAATTAAGTACCACACGTTAAACGGTCGTTAATATGCATAAACTAACAAGATTCGAGACATCAAATTTTCAAAACAGTTACACGACGCACAGTGAGTGCGTGTGTTAGGATTGATAAAGGAACACTCATGTGACCATAGTTAACTATCGATGTTATTAAGGAAGAAGTTGCAGTGTATCGAGACGCATCGATTTAATTTCGAGAGTCCAAGAAGTTACACATGCAATACATAAGCGATACGTACCGACCTAAATCGGACTCAGACTTCGATACTACTATACGAGTCAGTACATAACTATTTGCAGCCGATACGTATCGAATTCTTCATGAAAATGTTGCATGCTTTATACTTAAAACGTGACATAACTCTCCGTAACACTAGCTAGTCAACGTCCAACTAGATTCCCTATGGTAATGGTAATGGTAACCCACCGATTAAAATCAAAAATATCCTCATCTATAGACCATAGTCGACATATTATTAAGTAACCACTCTTATCATTTGCTCTTATCACTCACGGTCACCAGGGCTAAGATCTGTGATCTAAGCACCCGGGTATCTAAACAGAATCTTAAGTAAAACCATAAACATTAATTACTTAGTGCCTATTAAATATATGTGTAAAATCACCTGGCCAAAGTTAAAGATTTTGATGTTCACGGTTACGTTCCCGACGAGTGACTAGTGGCTTATAGTGGTATCTACTGCACAATTTCAAAAGGGGTAATGAAGACTGAAGAGTGAAGACTATCTAGAAACTCACTAATCTAAATCGGTATAAAAAAAACCTTAGATATAAAGATATGGATAGGCCACGTCTTTGTTAAATATATTTCAGGCCGTGTTCCCGGAGGGAAGACATTGAGGACGATGCTTTCATAATGATAATCGACACTCGATAATAGATACACTTATTTGGCCTCAATTCAGTCAATTCATACGCCTTCTTAGGTTCTACATGATCAATGTACTCTTTAATTACCGCTGATAAGACTGTTGTCCTATCCATATCTTTATTAACTATGGAAAAATACATCGGGATGTTTTTAGACCATATCATTTACATGGTTCATTATCCCGTTGTGGGATAATCTTAAATCGGCTTAGTCTTGTGAATTTCTAGTATTTTAAATTCTTTTACTAATGCTAATAGTAATAATAATGTTTAAAAATAATAATATTATTCTCAAAATTTGAAAAATCACTATTAAATAGGTATTACTACTTTACCATCTGCCGTTTTAAAAAGCGTGCCAGCTGTTCCTATTTATCCGACATATTGAACACTGAACACAAGAAATACAGCCACTTGGTGCGTGACGATTGCGACTCACTTTAATCTTTTATCTATGGACTCACTCGTCAGTTTTCACCTCGCGTACTAAAGGCATAGACTTGTAGAAATGAATCATTAAGTACGATAACGGGGGAAACTGGGGAAAGTAGGCGGGGCTTGTTCCGAGAATCGGGCGCTGTTATAGCAACTGTAGCTATCTTGGCATTTGGCTGTCCTCGGAACAATACCATTTCTCTCACTCTTATGATAACACATAAGCTATCTCTCGAAATTCGTATATATACCCTATATACCCTATAATATATATTATATACCCTATGGCACGAATGCACAATTACTCCTCCCAATCATCGGGGAAAATGTTCCGTCTATTTCTATTTTCTTTAAATCCATGTCTATTGAACACTGATTATAAATATTCGACCTCCCATTTGGTGGCRCATGCGCAGTAAATGGCACTTGCAGGGTGGCATTTACGACTTTACGCTATCGAAATTATTAGACGTATTTCATAAGCCATCGCTCTATTCATTTTATATGATATAAAGGTAAACAAGAATTCGATTTAACTCAAAGACAAATATATAAAGTTAAAATAGCATATTATATCGAATGTAGTGGTTGACGGCTTTGAAATTTGTGAGTTGGAAAAAACATTACTATGATTTAATATTTGTTCTAGCGTATAACCACAGTACATACAATTAATAACTAATTACTAATTTTTGATAAAAATACGCTGAACGGTGGGTGATTCAGCATCTTAACCCCCCCCCCCCCAATCTAAATCCACCATGGAGGTTAAATATTATGATTTGTTCTTGTAATATTGTGTAATATGTATGTATTATATATACTTGCGTGTATTCAGTTGTGTGATGACAGTATTTGAGTTGAACGGTGAAGAATAAGCCGAGAAAAACAAAACTTGGAATTTTTCGGCAGCGGTGGTAGTTGTTGGAGATACAAGCGACTACGACAGTACGAAAAGAAGATGCACTTAAGAAAATAATATTTACTGTTGCCTGTAGTGATTAGAGTGGTGGGGTGAGGTTTCAGTTCTGTCCGAGGTGTGACAAACACTACCGCCTCTGACGTCGGAATCTCGAATAACAATTATGTATATAGGTACTTCAGCTGTCTTTTTCGAAAACCATTGGTAATAATATCTATAATCGATGCCGAAAACACTGAATGAGTGTCACGGGGTGGGGGTTACAATATATTTTTGGTACAGTTTTATTATTTGTCGATATGGAAACTGCGGGTAGTTGCAACCGCATGGTTCCCTACAACAATCACTATTCACTAGCCGCTAGTCAGAACCGCTTTTACATTTATGTATACATACACTATAGTGTTATATTATTTCGGTGGGGTGGAATGCGGGTGGCTTCGGCCCAATACAAAAAAATCGATTGTGACGAAAATAACAAAGGAAATTCGCGCTCCTTTTATTGKAATATGTATATCTATAGTGTTTTGTGTGCACACTCATGCGCAGTAGTGAAAAAGTGGTTGTCATAAAACTAATACATTTATTATACGACCCAATAATACGTACTATAAATAAATGTTGTCCCTCGAAAAAAAAAGTAGGTACATTAAAACAGGTTTATTTATTTTATTTTACGTTCTCCTCCGCCGAGGTGTTTTCGTATTAAAACCATGTAGGATGTACGCACGTTTATAATGGCATGTTGAAACATGCATTGCTTATTGTGATTTTATAAGCACAAAACTAATCAAATTTAATCCTTTAAACTGCCAAGAACAATTTATTATTTTGCAAAGCTTTTATGGACTTTATTCCCAAATTTACAAACTTTACAAGAATACATTTCTTGTTACACATGTTTCAACATTATATGTGGCATACCTTTTTATTGTAACAATATATTTAAAAATTCGAAAAAAATAGCCATTAAATCGTCTCGATCGGTCATTACCTCGACGTGTGTGAGAAACCCTAATCAGCATATTTGTTTTTACCACAGCACTCGCCATTCCTCACACCCAGTATATAAGCCGTGCTTGACGTAAAGAGTAACATAATACCATGACGACAATCGTTACAGTAGTCTAATAGTGATTTGATGTTTTGATGAGATTCAAATACGAATTAAAACCAAGTTCAGCAGGGGTGGACTGGCATCTATTCGGCCCACGGTTATGAAAAAAAAAAATCGACACTATTCTAATATAACTTTAACTTTTTAACTTACTTTTTGAATTTTAGTTCCTCGACTCACCATAATTAATATAGGTAGTTGATAAATGTTTTTAAAATATGAATTGATTTGAGGTAATTGAATTGTTTGTTATTTATATTGTATTTTAAATCATAAATAATAGGTAAAATTCATTGGTTTGATTAGGTTAAGTTAGGTTTAGTGAGGTTTAATCTAAAACCTAATTTAAAACCTAACGCTGTTAAGGGGATTCGATACCGCTATTATTTCTACCAAAATATACCTATATTTTGCCAACTGTATTGATTGTTCTAGTAATCGGAAATAAATTCCGAAAACATATTTGAATTCGCTATGAAGTTTACTTGAAAACAATTTTTCAGCTCTTTCGAAATTGATCACTTGAACTCTTCAATTTTAATTTGAAGAATTTTACAATAATATTTATATTGAGCTAAAAAAATTAATTTAAAAATGTGAGAAAGTCGTTTTCAACAATATTTCATGATGAATTCATATGTTTTCAGGATTTGTTTCCGATTAGTTGAACAGTCCGTACATATGRCAAAACATTGATACTTTGAAAAAAAAAAATAGTAAATAATGTTCATTTAGCGCGCGACGGTGCGTATTTGATATATTACTGTCTGTGCGGCCGTCATAATCGAAGATGAGAAATATTATGTAGCGTGCTGTAAAAGTTATGTGGGTGGGTGGAGGCACTCACAATAATGACTGCAAACAAATACAGGCCACGCACGCACACGCTTTGTCAATTGCCTTCAAATTGTCTAGTCTATATTCAGCTCTTKAAAAACGATCGCTATGAAATTCCTTTAATAATATTGATCAGCATTAATATTTAGAATTAATAATTCGATATCAGCAGCGCCATCTACTGGGGTTAGGTTACCCTACTTTCCCCCTCACAAAATGATCGATCGTTTTGAGGTTTCAAACTTGCCGTTGTTTTAACCATAGACGGGTGACCATCACAGCTGATATGTAATATCAGAGTCGGTCTCTCTCACACATAATATCACAGATTATATAAAACAATATAAATAATATTATAATATATAATAAATATTTATATTAATATTAATATTAATTTATATTAACAATATAAATAATATTATAATATATAATAAATATTTATATTAATATTAATATTAATTTATATTAACAATATAAATAATATTATATATAATCTGTGATAATATTATACGTGGTYTCCTACTATRGTCACCCGCGATGTTGGTAACACTTGACGCATCCTTGTCTGGGTAGAAACGCCGATGCTGACGCTGCCACTTCAAATATATTTCTGATAGGCCGCTAAATTTTGATCTCAAAGCAATCTATAGATATATAAACAGATAAATATACGACTTCCTTGCCTATACAACACTATATTGGTAGGCATGAACATRGCCTGCCCCACATATGAGATTAAGCTGGCAATGTTTAMATAATTTGTAATGATAACGTACGTTGATAAGGCGAATAGATACGTAATGTACTAATGTATTGTGTATATTATATTTGTATTATATTATTGTTCTATGGTTATATGTATTAACTTGGCCTATCCATTTTTCTATTATCTTTGTTTGTTATAATGTSATTTAGTTCCGTAAGTATCCACTAAGACGGCGCTAGTAATGCTAAAAAGAAAAATAGTAAATACCCCCTGCACTCTACCTGTTGTAAACAATTCGTTGTCAACCTCCACCTCACCACACTCTCCAACAATATTGTTACTAATTACTGTAGTACTGTACTTCTGTAAATTTTGGCCYGTGCTTATGATTTAATTCGTCAACTGTCGGTTAACCATTGTGCATTATATTATCTTCAATCGTGCAAATAACATATCTTTGGCAAGTTTCTGATTAATATTGTATTTATTATATATAATATTAACCATTCAGTAGGCCAGTTCATCTCCTACAGAATTAGTCCTCTCCGTGCCTTGAACAGAACAGTGGAAGAACCTCCTGAAGCTACTGACTGGGTATGCGGTCGAATTAATAAGGGCACTTCACACTTTGATATCAAAATACTTCAACCACTTTTTTATTGACAACATAGGATTGTTACTCCATGCAATAATCTTAAGGGCGTCGGAGCCGGTGCTTTTTTACTATTTTCAGTCCAAACATTTTGTAATTTTTTTTAATTCAAAGAAAAGATCATCACCTTCAATGTCGGAAAACACTCAGGTGATGCCAATCATTAATGATCTTGTAGGACCTGAAGAAATGCCCATTATTTCAAATAATGAGATGGAAGAAGGTAACAAATAGTAGTATTAATTATTTATTAATTTTTTGTTTATAATTTGACACTTAATTCAGTAAAATGTTTACCTACTTAACACATTTTCTTACTTATTGACAAAATGTTAAGTATCTATTATTTTTATAATTTTAAATTGTATTTCCTTTGATGACTATTCTCAGCATGAAAAAAAATTATCCTTAAGTGGTGATCAATTTTTGTCAGCTTCTGTCATTTCACACCCGTCAATTAAATCAGTTTCTATCAACTTATTTGGCAGCTTTTGTTTCTGATGATTGGTTGTGATCAAAATTGCTTTATTATGTTAGTTTTAGCCAAGTATAATCGCTAGGCAGATCATTGATGATTCAGTCAGTTGTATTATATTGTATAATAGAACTTATAAAAATGTTTTGTCTTTTTTTATTTATTTGTTCCTACATTTTTAAATAATATCAACAGTGATTTTTATAAATTTATCTTATTGCTTACACTAAAAACATTAATTTTAATTATAATTAAATATCATTATTAATAAAATATAATTGTATYGTCAATTTGTAAATTTAACTTTGTCTACTGACTACTGGCATACTGAAGTTATGATTATTTTATTTTTAGACAATGCACGACCAGAAGGAACTTTTAGACTTGAAATTGAAAATTTTAGTAAATTAGCAATTATTAAGGAACAAACACTATCACCTCCTTGTTATGTTCGCAATCTTCCATGGAAAATAATGATAATGTATAGAGCAGACGAATACAGAGGATTAAATCATGCTGTTGGTTTTTTCCTTCAAGTATGTATATTTTTTTTCTGTCTTATTCGTGACCAGTAGTATTGATCTTAATTTATTATAACTATAGTTATTACCACAAAATCCATAATCACTTTTAATTTTAAATTAGTGTAATGGTGATTCAGAAAATACTTCCTGGAGTGTTAATGCAAGTGCTGAACTTTGTGTTATATCTCAAAAAGAAGGAATCTCAAATGTTAAACGTAAAATTCAACATCTGTTTAATCCAAAAGAGAATGACTATGGATTTAGTTTTTTCATGTCTTGGGAAGACATAACAGATGAAGCCAAAGGATATATTAAAAATGATACGGTTTTTTTTGAAGTGAGTTTAGTATACTATTTATATTTATAAAATGTTTACTATTTTTACTTTATTTATGTTTTTATTTATTAGAAATAAATGTTTAAATTTGTTGTTCTGTACTACTTATAAAAGTGTGTATGTACAAATATAGCAAAGGGATGGGGTACATCTTAAAATTTAATGGTTAATTCATCTTGTCACATAAATTATTAATATTTACAGTTTACAAACAAGAATTTTTTTTCAGCTTCAAAATTCTATAAATCTTAATTTATTTATTTATTTTTATCTCTAAATAAAACTATACTGATAATATTAAACTCACTTTTAACAGGTATCTGTAACAGCTGATGCACCGCATGGTGTAAATTGGGATTCTAAGAAACATTCTGGATACATAGGTCTGAAAAAAAAAAGTGCCGTAGGCTATATGAATTCACTTTTACAAGCATTATTTTTCACTAATCAACTACGCAAGGTTAATAACATCTTCAATTTTATAATTATTTTATATTTATCTCGTTTTGATATTACACTTGATCACAAATACAATTTTTTAGGCTGTATATAAAATGCCTACTAAAAGGGATGATAGTAATGACAGTGACGTATTAGCATTACAAAGAGTATTCCACAAGCTTCAATTTTATAATAAACCTGTTGGAACCAACAAATTAGTTAAAAGTTTTAGATTGGAAATCCTTACAAGTATATCATTGCCGTATTATGATATTCAAAAATTCTTAAAATAYGTATGTATAATATTTTTAATCAAAAGATATATTACTTTTCTATTACATTTCTATTAAATTTTTCTGATTTATTTAAGTTGCTTGTTAAATTGGAAAATAGAATGAAAGACACGAGTGTTGAAGGAACTATACCTAAGTTATTTGGGGGAAAAATGATTGTAAGTTAAATAAACTTTTTTTTCCATACATTTAAAACATATATGTAAATATTTTAATTATATTTATTTCAGTTATATATACATTCTAGAAATGATAATAATACATCAAAGCTAACTCAAACATTCTATGACATTCAGCTCAATATAAAAGGAAAAAAAAACAGTAAGCCATATAAAATTATCTCCTTTTAGGCTTATTCTGGACTAACCTATTATATATATCTCATTGTAGATACTGTGAGYCAAGCTTAATGAATTTTGTTTAGGTACCTATATGATATTAACTTAAATTTATTACCATAGACCTTATACTACTAGACAAGAATTATAAAAGCTTAATCTTATTGATGCATGATTTATATACCTATACTATTTAATATTTTTTATATTCTTGAAGTTTATGAATCATTCAAAGATTATATTCAAGTTGAGACACTGCGTGGTGTTAACTCATATGAAGCTATATTGTATGGTTTACAAGATATGGAAAACAGAGTTATATTTGAATCATTTCCTCCTGTTCTTTGTCTACAYCTTAAGCGATTTCAATATGATCCAGTCACAGATATCTCTTTTAAAATCAATGATAGGTAAATTTAATGTTATTATTTATGTTTTTGATGAAAATATTGTATTGTAATGTTATTAATAAATCTTGCTATTTTAGATTTGAGTTTTATGATAAAATTAATTTGGATCAGTTTTTAAAAAATAAAGAAGATACTCCAGCTGATTACACATTGTATGCAGTTCTTGTTCATAGTAGGGTTGATCATAATGGAGTTAATTTTAATGGACATTATGTGGTTTTCATTAATCCTAAAGGCGATGGAAAGGTAGATTTACAATTAAATATTTAATTTATCAAATAATATCAAATGTTTATTTTTTTTTATCAGTGGTGTAAATTTGACGATGATGTTGTCTCAAGATGCCCTAAAGAAGAAGCAATAGAACGTAATTTTGGTGGCGATAATGGAGACATCATTAATTGGCGTATGATGCCAATAAAGAAATGTAGAAATGCACATATGTTGATTTATATTCGTGATTCTGAATTAAAAAATGTGCTGCAGGAAGTTACAATTAATGATATATCAAAAAAGGTTTATAAAAGTATTAACTAATGATTATCTGATGGAAATTATTAAATTAATATAATATAATATGCTATATTTAGGATATTATTTTAAAATTGATTTAAAATGATTATCATTAAATTAATTAATTATTAGTTATTATTATTTCATTATTTTATTTATACCACAGCATGTTTACAATGGTTGATTAAAAACTAAGTAATATCAATTGTTTAAAAGTTAACAAAATTATTTGAAAATTCAATGTCAATAATGTTGTGAATTTAGAAATCAGTGTATGGTAACATTATTTTTATCGCCACTTTTAAAATAGGAATATTATTCGATTTTTTTTAGCATATTGGAAAGGTCTACTTTGACAGAGACAAATGAAACAGTTTATGAAGTGGTTTAGTAATGATACTTTTACATTTCTTTAATATAATAAATAAGAGGCACACAATCAAGACCCACACCACTATATTTGTTAAGCGAATTCAAAGCATAGAAAATTTCTTCATCACTAATATATCGTATAAATTTAAATTATAATTTATATTTATAGTGTCATAACTCATATTCATGTATTCATCATGTTCATATTATGTGAGGGAGGAAGTGAGTGTACACGAGAAAAAAATTGAACCKACTCATTGAAACTACAGAGTGACAGTAATATTATTATACGACATATTTTAAGGAATATGAGTTTTATTAGATTAAAGCTTTTTAATGTAATACCAAAACGGTTTTATACTAGTAAAAATGTTATTTTCTAATCTAAGAATGCAATATTAGAATTAAATTTAATGACAATATTTTACATTCTTTACAAAGGTCGAAAACTCAATATAATTGTATTGTGACATACTAATTTTATATTTTTTATGAGTTTTTGTAATTCTTGATTACATAGAGCGAGATTTTGATAATTAAATAACAGTCTGCATCTTAGGACAAACAATTCAATAAAATGATTTACAATTTCTTTGAATTTACTTAGTTTTGGTGTTTGGCGTCATGTTTTATTTGTATTTGTATATATTTCAATCAAATAATGTATTATTATTACACATTCTTACTTTAGCATGATAAATTTATATTTATCTATAAATATGAAATACATTTTACTTATATTGTATTATAGAATCTTTTAGGCCCTTAGAAATATTATTGAAAATAGTGCTTCTAAGTTACATAGTTTTTTAGAAAATTTATCCTAGGTAATATTTAAATATAGGTGGTATAAAATAAGTAGCACCTCTTACAGTGTAGTTKTAGATGTGTGTGATGTAAATCTCGGGAACTATAGAATAGTCTCAACAATTCATAAATAAAAGCGCCTTCGTATGAATATGTACTGGTGTTCACTTTTACGTTAAGGGGATTGGAAGTGGTGATTTTCTGTCTTTAWTTAACACACGTGGGACATACAATATGCCTGAAAAAATTAAGGTACTTCTAGTTGTTCGATTTAAAATATGTAAAGATGAGTTAATTGGTTACAAGTTTATTTTGCATAGGTCGAAGCACTTTTTCGATTGTAGCAATATTTTGATAAGAATAAATATTTTAAATTTTATAAATTTCTCAATTTTTTTAATTCAATATATTAGAAATATTAAAAATATGCTTCGACCGATGCAAAGTAAACCTGTATACCGATTCAAAAATCTTTACATATTTTAAATCGAGCAACTAGAAGTACTTTCATTTTTATCAGGCGTATTGCATGTTCCATGTGTGTTAGACAAAGACCCGAAAATCGCCGCTTCCAATCCCCTTAAATATGAATAATTATTTGAAAAAAAAATTTCACTCTCTAAACAGAATTTCTTTTCGTAGAAAATTAAATTGAAAATTGAAAATTAAAATGGCTAATGCTGCCACCAATGTTATAAGCACTACKGTTTATGGACTGATTGAACTGTGATGATGTGTTATATTTTATATTGTGTCTTCATGGGCGCTCATAGGTAAAATTTTAAGGAGGGTCAAAATAAAAAAATATCTCAAATGTAAGATAGCAAAGATTTAATGTTATTTTCACTTATGAATGTAAATATGCATGTTATATATTTTGTATTGTCATATATATATATAGCTACAGTTGATTAAAAAACATTTTAATTAGTTAAGAAAAAAAATATATAATCTAATCTAATATATTATTCCGTATCGGTAAATAAGAACTGCAAATTTCTTCGTTTTATTCCAAACATATTAATGACATCCTGAATGAAAATATCCTTGTTTATGTTCACTCTTTTCATGATGAAGGCTCATCATACTCATAGGTGCAAATAGGGAGTTATATTGGCGGGGGCTCRAACTCTTTGATATATTCAACAAAAATTCCCTCCTCCACATCAAATAAAAATATTACTTTTTTTTTATTAGCTACTAGTATAAAATTATTACTTATTATTGCACATATATTTATTATTAACTAGATAATTGGTTACAATATTAAATTTATTTTTCTGCTGGATTTGGCAAAGTCATTTAAAACTGAGACCCTTTCAATAATAATATCTTCTTCAATATTAATAATCCCTAAACTGCTAAATTTTTCTTGGAGCATTGTTGATCGCATCCATGTTTTCAACCTCCTCATTGCGGAAAATGACCTTTCACTAGAAGTGGAATTGATTGGCAAAGTTATTGTTAAATTAAATAAATTATAATAATTTGGAAAGATTTGTTTGCCATTCAATGAGTTTAAGTGATTTTGCAGAACTTCCAAATCAACATTAACTTTCAAGTTATTTTTGATAACCATCATTTCTGATCTTAAGGAATCTTTGGAAACACCGAATAAATAAATCTTAAAAGTTATTATTTAAAAATCAATTTTAAAAAGTATTCGGTAAATAAAAAGTAGATTCGAACATTCAATAACATTGTTTAGCACAATTATTTATTTATATAAATACATTATAAATTAATATTAGATTTAGTGTTTATAAAAATAAATACTTCTAATAATTTTCATATTACCTTATAATGATTAATGAATTGTAAACTTTCATTAAAGCTTAATTTTAAAAGGTTKCCTACAGATTGGGCTATTCCCATACTTTCTGGTGAAAATCGTTTTTCCATATTGACAATAATAGTATCAAGTATAGGATAAAAACAATGCATTTTCCAATAATTTTTATTTATTGTAGTACCCATTAATACATTATTAACATGGTCTTCTTCTGCCGAAGTAGTTGATAGTACAGTWTACTGTTAGGTTCCCTTCTACGACGTTTAGAGCCAACTGAATTAATTAAAATTACATCAATAATTTGAATCATACATTTATTTTATTTTAATAGGTATTATTAAAATAACACACCTTGTGAAGGAATATCCAATGACACATCATGTTCTTCATAAAATATAGTAATATTATTCCACAAATTATCAAAATATACATCTTAACGGTTATTTTTCAGAGTATCAATCACTCCACATTTTAATGAACTAGATTTTCCAAGAGTTGTAGAGTTTTTATTGTAGACAAAAGACCTATTGCTGGGGCAACATCTTTATCTTTTTGTAATTCTATTTCTTCATCTAGAATATATAGAATAGGTTTAAAATTTGCAATAACTGAGTTACAATTCTTATAACGGCTGACCGATCGAATATCTCATAACTGTGGGATTTTTGTTTTTTTAACTCCTAGTTTTTCTTGAATTTCGGTCATTTTTTCATTTTTTGTTGGTTGACTAAAATGAACATACAACGCTTCCAAGCCATTAAAAAAATTCTGTGCGTCCTAAAATTAAATTTTAAAATACTTGATGTCATATCATTTTTATTAAAACACAGAATTTAATACTCCATAACTGAATTAAATATGCATACATTTGTTACATTTATAAATATATTTGATCTCACCTTTAAATGTTTACACAATATATCAATGACCACAAGGTTTAATTTGTGTGCCATACAGTGTACATAAATAGTTTTAGGATGTATTTCTTTAAGCTAAGCCTGAACTCCACCAGTATTACTTGACATCACGCTAGCACCGTCATACGATTGACCTATTTTATTAATTTTGTCTAAGTTCAAAGAATTTAAAAACTGTAATAGAACACCAATATTATACTGTCAGCATTTTGACTTTGAGATACATCTAAAAATTCAACAAATCGTTCTTCTACTTTAAGGTTTTTTGGTTAACGAACACACACAGCTAACTGTTGTTTTTTGTGGCATCTAGAATTTTTTATTAATAAATATTTTATTTATAAAACAATTATCAAAATATAGCTTAAGACTAGTTAAGTAAATAAACAACATAATATTAAGAAATTACCAAGCTTCATCACACAAAATGCTATACATTCCAGCACTTATTATATCTTCAACAATAGTATTCCTTATACATGTTTAGCGCAAATCTCAATGATTTCATTTTGTATTAACCAAATTGTATGATTTGTTGGTTTAGCATAATTTAAAGCAAAAGTTGGATTATACTTTGCCGTTAGTTTGCATGCTTCTTTTAAGTTACCAACAGTAAACATGATAAATAATATAAATAGGTATATATATATAATTAATTAACATTAGTTAGATACTTTTATATATATTGTACTAAATTCACCTAACTTACCTTGATTCAAAGATGTTTCATTTTCAATATGACCTCTAAATGCTACTCTTTGATGTGCCAAAAATAATATGATATCAATTAATGTTAACATGTAGGTAATCTCTATTTTCTAATATTTTATCACGGTGWGCATTTGTAACTAATGTATGAACAGAACCAGTAGTTTTAGATTGGATATGTGCATGCCATTTTGTCATACAAGTCAAATGGTACTGACAACTAGAATGCAACCCTAACATTAATTTAGTATATTTCGATCCTATTCCTCTAGAACCAAAAATCTATAAAATTAATATTTAGTATGTTATATAAATAAATCGTCTACAAAAATGAATATATATATATATATATATATAAGTATATATCAAAATAGTTTAAAAATAGTCATTTAACACTTACTTTTTTCAATTTCTAAATCCTTTAGTTG